GTGATTCTTCTTCGCGCGCTTTCATGATGTGCGTACCACGTGGACGACTTGGGGGCGATGGACGATCGCCAATCTTTTTTTCTGTATGTTGGGGGGTTCTCAACAAACAAAAAAATGATGGCGAAAAAGGTGCCATCTTCTAAGCTTGCCCGAGACTCACAAGCAGAGACGAACGTAAAGGCACCGCTGTGCACTACGACGGCCGCCTCGTCGACCTTCAGCCTTCTTCGTCCGGCGCGAACCAGCACGTGAGGCAACATCTTGTTGCTGTTAGCGGTGGTGATGTTGTAGCTTGTCTTGCCGCGTGGTTGCTTATGCGCACGTAGTTAGACGTGTTTGTGTTTCGTCGTGAAGTTACCAGTATCTTGGCTCAAACCCCCATCTTCACCGATTGATCCGGCCGAAATCAGGCACAAGCTTACAAAAACACACCGTGATTTGAGCCCGAGTGCACGAGCCACCTCATCGCCACCATCATCGCTCGTTCAAGCCCCGCGTGCCTTGCTACTACCATAGGCGGCATAACATACTACACCCCCTGGACCGGTTTTCAAAGATCGATTTCCCCCACAGCAGAAAGAATGGCCGGGCCGAAAACGGCGTCGTTACGTGGAGAGATTTTTCCGAAAACGTATGTATCGTTTCGTGTGAGCTTCCTCTTCGTCGTGGAGTAGTCGAGAGCTTCCAGGGGGTGTGGTATCTTACATCATGTCACCTCCGGCAGTACCTACCACTATCGTCCGCACCGATGGTGTTTCTCTCACTCTCTTCACCGTGGTTTTCTTCCCTCGCCCCTGCTTGAACGATCACTTGCAGGCTGCCGTTTTCTCCGGCCCCACGCGAGCCCCACGCGCACCACCGTGGCCGCCGCCGTTCCTCAAAGACCACCCCGTCTCCTCTGAGCACCCTCGGCGCTAGCTCTTCCTGGTCTCGGGTAGACGCCTCGTCATCGGATCACACGACGGTGACACAAGAAGACGGGGGTATCATCGTCGATTCCCCGAAAATAACGCCTCCATCACCGGCCGCGTTGGCGGCGAGTGGTACCGCTAGTAGGGAGAAGGGGGAGGAGGGCGGGGCTGGGGGGGGCGGAGGAAGCGCTGTTTGCGAGCGTTGTTTGGATGCTCGCGATGCGCCGCCGCTGCCGCCGCCGTCGCCGTCGTGTGGGTGAGACATCGAACGCGTACATGTATGCATGAAGGGTTTCACGCGGGTTCTTCTGTCGGTATCGCCTGCCATTGCAGAGATTGAGGTTCAGACACGATGACGGCGGCGGCGGCGGTTGAGTCTGTCGCATGTTTTTTTTGTTTTTGTGTGTTTTGCAGTCCAATCCCTGGTTACGTTCCCGCTGCAGCGGCGCAATTGATCGATCTCGTCGTCGTTATACCCTGGCCGCGGTCGCGCTGCAGTTCGTGGTGCTTGTCTGTCGCGCAGGCGAGGATCCAACCAAAGGGAAACGCGTATCCTCCCGCGCCTGCCTCCCGGAACGACACAACAGCGCGCCTTGATTCTCCAATCCAACCGACAAAGGGGAATATCTGTGGGATATCTATCCTCCCCCCTACCTCCCAGTTAAAACGTGCCTTGATTCTCCGCTGTGATGTACCACCCATCCCGGGGCGATTGAACAGGTTTCGCGGGTCTTTCCTCAGCGAGGAGGGCGGGGACGGGGATGAAGAAGGAGCGACGGTGGCGGTGGGAATGATGCTGCCAGAGAAAGCGTGGAGAGTGAAGAAAGAGGAGGGTGAAGGGGTGGCAACTGGCAAGATTGAGGAGGAGGAGGACGAGGACGGGGACGAGGTTGTGCCTAGCAGGGCGGATCACGACCACTTTGTGCAGTCCTTCCTTATGAGCAGGTTTGTCGGACAAAGGGGAGGAATGTGAGTTGTGTACGTTAAGCTATTCATAGGCGTGAAAGGACGCGTGTGTGCCATGTTGCCTGCCTCACACCCCGTGCGCGGGGAGTGTTGGTTTTTCGCAGATTATTATCGGAACGCACCGCTTCCCCCAAAAGCGCAACCTTCATCTCTTGGTAAACGCGCGGGTATGAGCGTAGCTCCCGAAGTATTTCCCGTGACGAGCTCCAACCCCCCCCCCCTCCCCCAATCCCCCGAAATCAGCGATGATGAGGATGGGCGTGAAAGTGACCCGGAGAAGCTGGGCGCAAGCGACGACGATTCTTCGGCTCGGTTGCAGGAGTCTTCACGGCGACGACGCCGCGGCATCGGCGAGGGCCAGGGCCGCGCCGACAACGGTAGCGATGGCCGCTGTTCTAGTGGTACTCGCCCTTCCACTGCTCATCGTCCTGCTGCTGTATTTTCCCGGGGGGAGCACAGGGAGGGCGGTGTCCACGTACACGCGACGGCGGCATCATCGTCCGCGCAGCAGCAGCAGCAGCAGCAGCAGCAGCAGCAGCAGCCGCTCCGGAATGAAATCGCAGGCGCAACAGCAACGGCATTTGCAGCAGTGACGACAGAGGGAAGCAAACGTCACAGCCCTACAACCGGCGGTGCCTTCGAGTACGAAGGAGAGAACTCGAACGGGACCGGCGGGCCCAACAACGCCACCTTCGGGGGGGGGGACGGTGACGCTCCCAACCCCGTCTCCCCCACCAACCACCCCTATCACGGCCATCCACCGGCGGCGGCGGCGGCGGCGGCGCCAACGTCGTCCTGGAGACGGCGCATCAGCGACGCCGGCCTGCGGCACGCGGGCCTCGATGCCGCTTCGTGGCTCCGGCGGCGGCCGCGGCGATCGAGCACTGGCGGAATCGGGGGCTCGTTTGCCGTCAGGGGCAGCCTGTGCGTCCAGGATTCGAGCGAGAGCGAGCTTAACGCGTACGACGATGAAGAGGTGGGGTGGGAGCGAGTGTGCCCCGTACAAACCAGCCTTGATTTCTGCAGTCTTGTGGCTGTTTTTTTTTTTGTCTGGTGGCCGTTGATAATTGCTGCTCCGCGTGTACCGCGTGCAAGACGGCGTTGGTGTATATATGCTGCTTTGTTTCAGACGGACCATTTCGTACCCGTTGCGCTGCTGGCGCGTGTTTGCTAACACGCGGCGGCTGGCTGGTGGCCTATGTAGGCACACGCCGACAGGGTGGTGCCCCCTCATGCCCTGTTGAACCCGCTGTCTAAGCAAAACGGGTGAAACCTGCCGCGATTCTTGGAGCAGCACGCGAAGGGTCCAACAACTGCAAGGGGGCTACCGCCGGAGGAGCGATCCCAGCTCTTGAAAGCAGTTGTAGAGGTGGTACAGTAGATACAAGACATGGAGATAGTTTGCTGTGTGGTTGGCGTGCTGCACTTGTCAATAGCGGTATTTGGTTCGACGTTGAAACCGTGCTGGCAGGAAACCAATACCTCCATCTTCCGTGCTGATCCACGCGGTAGGTAACAAATCGGGGTTCCGCGGCCACGGAGGGTCCTAAAAGAAGGCACAGGTGGAAACAAAGAAAGCCCCTGTAACAGCGGTATTGCTACCTCAAGATCACCACACAGAGATAAAAACCCAAAAAACAGGGTATACCCGGCACCGCGCATCTCGACTGGACCTCGAAATACATCCACATGACCCTGTCGAAAAGTCGACCAACCTTTATTCATCCCGCGTGCTCCCTGCTGGTCGATAACCGCATGCAACGGAATGCGCGCGTCGTCCAATGGGCTGGATTTGGGATCGCGGCCCCCGCATGAACAAACTATGCAGCAGGAGTTCTGCGAGGACTGGCAAGGCGCGGTGTCGGTGGACCCGGACGCAATCGAGCTAACGCTCCCCCCGCGGACCGCATCGAGCATTACCGAAGGCCTGAGCTTCGTCGGGTTTGAGGTGATGCAATGCAGTCTGGTTTACTGAACCCGGGTGCCCGAAGGAAACGACGCTTCTCTCCCCCCCCCCCCCACTACCCCCTGGATATCTATCCTGGCGTTGTGGGTCGTTTTTAACCTCAAGCCTGCTTTTTCTCGGGGCGTCGGTCTTGCGCCCGTACCCTGCTGGATCTTCACAACACAATGATGCATCAGATTCATCCCATCGAAGCCGTTAATTATTTTCCCGATCGCCCCCCCCTTCCCTGCCGGAGGCGGACAGTTCATGCTTGTAGTTGTGATACTTTTTGTTCCGAGCCAAGTCGAGTACGTCTTTGCGGGCAGTGAGTGAGTGAGTGGCCTGTGTGCGTCTTCCACGGAACCGGTGTATGTACGCAGACGCAAGTCTTGTGGTGGTCAGGTCAAAACAAGACCCCTGGTGGGTGTATACAACCAAGTCTCGGGGGGCAGGACTCATTTCGTCCGAGTCTGCGCCGGCATGCTTTCAACACCAAGCCAGAAGTACACTTCTTCTGCCCCCCCCCTAACGATCTGGATTTGTTTAGACTAAGCGAGCGCTAGATACACAATGTGCGTTTTAAAGGGCCGAAGAGATAAGTGCTTGCTTGCCTGTTTTTAGTACTTGACGCCACTGTATTGAACTCGATGCTTTCCTTGGGGTCGCCGATGACCTCTGTTTTTTTTTCTGGCCGGGGTGATGATGACGTCATGTTTTTGCTCGTGTTGAAGAGGATCCCTCTTAGAGATTGGATGGATCTTCAACGTCGGCCTTGGTCGTGTCGGGCCTTGACTAGGGCTTTTGAAGACATGCTGCAGCGCGGCACACAATACCAGATAGTTGGCTGACCGTTTCCTCTTGCGTGTGTGCAGTCGTTTCGTTTTTGGTAGACGCGATGATCTTCTCTCGCAATGTGGAAGGCATTGGGCCGTTTAAGGGATTGTCTTTTTTTTTTTATTTATCACTGGCATCGACCGCGCTAACCGTCTTGGGTGTGTGGTCCGTGGCTGGTACGCACAACAAGCCTACCGAAAATGTTTTCTAGAACAGGATATTGCAGCATTATGTATCGAAGAAAAGAAAAGAAAACGTCTACAGAGACAACGCCTCCTCCATCATTGCTCGTTGTATGAGCATCAGCTCCCCAAGTAGGAAGGCATCCAACGAATGACAACCTAATGTAGTTTCGAGAACAAACGCATTTGAACCTTTATCTCCCCTTTTTTTTTTTTTGCGCCTCTCCGGTGCATAGCCGCTTGAACTGGAGGATGTCCCGCAGGAAGCCGTGCAGGCTAGGACGTGGGGCGATCAGGTGTGGCGGGAGTTTGTTGTTGTGATGGCGTTTTGTGGGCATGGGGGTGACGAGGAAGATGGCGAGCAATCTAAGTCTGTCTTGCTGATCTGTGGGAAAAGAAACGAAGGCCTGTTCATCCTCTATGCCTACGCGGCGACTTGTCGTCGTCGACAAGCTGACTAACGTCGTCATACGGCCCGACGGCGAATAGGTTATGTTGTTGACACTGCTGTGGCGCCAAATTGACGAATGCATGAACGGGGAAGTATGATGGACGGAGGACTTAGTATGTTTCTTGCAGCAATCCGTCGGAGGATGGACCTGCATGAGACGAAAACTGCTTGTGATGCTGATGCTATGTTCCAGAGAGTGTCCAGCCTCAGTTTGTCCAGTCCCTCTGTGATGCTAACTCTTGGTCGCTGCCCGATTACACACACGTGCCGGAGATCATCGTCCCTCGAAGTTGCATATCTTCCATTTTTCTGCCACAATCCTGTTTGGTTGATTCCAGAAAATGTTCACCCCCCTGAGGAAAGGGAACAGAGTTTATGTAGTGGTTCTTACACAAAGTGAGTCCCGGTCGCGCTACCGTTCTTTCTCCAATGCGAACACATACACACATGCTTTTTGGTCGAAACCAAAACGCAGGCAAACCTTACCGTGGGCGTCCGCTACGGCCACTCGGCGGAAATCGGCAGCCGGCGGGTAATGGAAGACCGGACGGTGGCCGTGGCCGATATCTTCAAAGCCGACGCTACGCCGTCCTTCCGGAGCCGCTCCGAGGGATACTTCCCAAGCTCGACCATCCTTTCTCGCAACAGCTCCTCTCCTGGCAGCGGCGGCCAAGACGACGCGGCCCGGAGGCGTTTTTTCCCGGCCGGGGCGGTCGCTCAGGCTACCCCTGGCGCCGTCGCCACCGTCGCCGTTGGTGACCCCGCTGCTGCTAGCACCGGGGTAGTGGTGCCGGCGGACACTGACACGGGCGGGCTCGCCGCGACGAAGGAGGAGAAAGAAACTACAGAGGGGAGGGGAGGGGCGAGCGGACAAGAGCAGAAGCAGAGGTCTCCGCCGATGTCGCCGTCGCCGTCGACCCCGCTGTGCGCGGCGTTCTTTGGGGTGTACGACGGCCACGACGGGGATGTCGTCGCGGAGGCCCTGCAGAAGGGGCTGCACAAGCTCATCGCCAAGCAGGTGGGGTGCGCGCGTGCGTAGTGAAGCGTGTGCGCAGGGCTTCGTAGGTGGTCGCCCCATCAGTGAGGGCATCGCACCGGAAGAAAGCCCCCTCCTCTCCTTCCCTGGCTTTGTCGGGATGCGAGGTCAATGGTCTTACGAACACGGCTCTAAGTACACACACACACACACCGCCAGAAAATCAACCATTGGCATATCCGGTTTGGCGCAGCAAATGCAAGGATGATGACCAGCTTCCGGAAGGTTTGCCTTGTGAAACGTAGAGCCTGGGCCGGCGAGAAACCGGCTTATCGCTCCGCCCCGGTATTGTAGGGATGCGAGGTCAATGGTCTAACGACTACGTCATGCGTTTACGTGAGTACCCCCCCCCCCCCCCCCCCCCCCC